ATATATATATATATATATATATATATATATATATATATATATATATGTGTGTGTGTGTGTGTGTGTGTGTGTGTGTATGTATATATACATGTATATGTCTATATATATGTGTATGTATGTATATATATGTATATATGTATACACACACACACACACACACACACACACACACACACACACACACACACACACACACACACACACACACATACATATATATATATATATATATATATATATATATATATATATATATATATATATATATATATATACATATACATATACATATATATATATATATATATATATATATATATATATATATATATATATATATATATATATATATATATATAATACACACGCAGACATTTATATATATATATATATATATATATATATATATATATATATATATATATATATATATATATATATGTATATATATATATATATATATATATATATATATATATATATATATATATATATATATGTATATAAATAAATATATATATATATATTTACATATATACACACACACACACACACACACACACACACACACACACACACACACACACACGTATATATGTGTGTGTACTTTTTTATGAAATCTACCTCTATCCTTCACTCGTGCATTCAACACATACTCCTGAAAGATCATAGATATGAAAGCGCGGTGTCTTTTCCAGGCGCGGGATGGAGGGGGCTGTCAGGATGCGACTGCTCCTTGTCCTCTGGATGATGGGCGTGGGCGCGGGCGGCTTCCTCCAGATGAAATATTGCTTCGGGGAAATCGGATGCTTCGCGACGAACACCGACTTCTACCACCCTCTCCGGCCCACCAACCCCACGCCCATTTCCCGCGAGGACCTGGACCTGACGTATCACGTGTGGAGCCGCGAGGACCAGCTGGGGACCATGGTGCGGGCGGCGAGGATCTCCGACATCCTCAACACCACGCTGAAGGCCTCGAGGAGGACCAAGGTGCTCATCCACGGCTACCTCGACAACGAAGGAGCTACGTGGATCTACGTGAGTGGTTTCCCCATTATTTTCTCTTGAAGAAAGATGGATAGATAAATGATGAAGAATCCGTTAATTGATTGAATGAATGAGAAGTAACAAGGTGGTTAAGTATACATCATGGGACAATTTTATATGGTAGAGCTGTTATAGGACTTAAGAGGAAAATATAGGTTAGGTTAGGTTAGGTTAGATTTGGTTAGGTCGGGATAGGAAAGGATAAGTTAGGATAGACTAGATAAACACCAAACACTTTACCCTTTTATTCCATATTAGGGCCTATACCCCCCCCCCCCTCAGGCTTCCCAACGCCTCTTTTCCCCCGCGCAAGACATGGCCTATACCCCCCCCCCCCTCAGCCTTCCCAACGCCTCTCTTCTCCCGCGTAGGACATGGCCTATACCCCCCCCCCCCCCTCAGCCTTCCCAACGCCTCTCTTCTCCCGCGCAGGACATGGCTGCCGCCCTCCTGCTGTACGGCGACTTCAACGTCCTGACGGTGGACTGGGGCGGCGGGTCGCGGGCGCTGTACGACCAGGCGGCCGCGAACGCGAGGGTCGCCGGCCTGGAGGTCGCCTTCCTCGTCAACTGGCTCGAGGACCGGGTGGGCCTCCGCCCGCGGGACGTCCATCTCATCGGGCACTCGCTGGGCGCGCACGTGGCAGGTGGGCGTCTGGACTGGTTCAGTCAGGGTGGTTTCGATATGTGTATATGTATGTACATGTATATATATATATATATATATATATATATATATATATATATATATATATATATATATATATAAATATATATATATAAATATATATATATATATATATATATATATATATATATATATATATATATATATATATATATATATATATATATTAGTATATATATACATATACACACACACATATATATATATACATATATATATATATATATATATATATATATATATATATATATATATATATATATATATATATATATATACATATATGGTCTGTTTTATTTCCTTTCTTTCTTTATGTTTTTTTTTTTTTATTCATATTTTTTCTCTTTTTTCCTTCTTTCTTTCTCTTCTTACTTTTTTTTTTTAATACAGAACCTTTGTTTGGTAATATAATTCAGAAGAAATTAGAAACATCTCTAAAGGGTATAATCCCTAGTCATGGTTTTCAGACTTTTCAGTGAAAATTTGGAATTCATAGAAAGAGGAAACGCAAATGAATGCCTGAGGAAGCCACTGAATAGCAAAGAGGCTGTTTTCTGGCAGCAGAGAGACTAACAAATCAAGATAAACATCGGTGAAAAAGTATAAATTAAAAGGGAGGGAAGGAGAGGGGGAAAGGAGACAGAGAGATAGATAAACATCTGTGAAAAAAAATTAAACGGAGGGAAGGAGAGGGGAAAAAAGACAGACAGATAGATAAACATCTGTATAAAAAAAAACAACAACATTAAAAGGGAGGGAAGGA